GCATAGGGCTACGGGAGAAGACGACGTTTAAACGCAGAAAAAATCAAAAAGTTGATCAGGTAAGAAAAATATTATTATACGAATCTCCTCCCTTTGAAACACGTAATAAAAGACTGTCACCTGACTGGAATCAGGAATACTCTTAGATGGTGTCAAAATTTAGTTTATAAATAATATAATTATATTCAGGCAAAACTCAAATTATAATATTAAATTTAAGTTTTGCCCAGTCAAAACTCCAATTTGAGTTTTGCCTAGGCAAATTTAAAATTTGCCTGAATTTGAGTTTTGCCTACAACATATATATGTATGTAGTATATACTAATAGACCAAAAATAACACAGTAGTTAACCATACAGACGACAGGACAGTCTGTGAAAGAATCTCTCTCACACGTGGATAAAAGAGAGAGAAAGAAACAAGAACGAAAATGAAAGAAATATGACTATCTGGCTGACCAGAGAGAAACAAGAACGGCAGCGACAGTTAGCGACAACGCTGGTTTATGGTTGTAGCTAACAGACAACAATAAATCTTTTGTACATATAGTTTTTGTAAGTGTATAACAATCTTCATCAGGACCACCAACATAAAATAATTTTCCAGGCGATTTTGGATGCATTTTTCAACCAGGCGTCACGTACTTGTAGAGCTAATAAAGCACGATTTTCTTTTATAAATTTACCATATTCATCTCTTGTAAACGGCAATTGTGTATCATATCAAAATATGATGGTTTTATTCTAGAGAAGCGACCCTCGAGATTTTTACATATTCGGAATCAGCGCAACGAGTTACGTTGTACGGCGCAAAGATCTCGTCGGGGTCCCGACACTTTTTGGACTCGGATTCTCCACTGTGGATTTTCACGGTATATTACACTATATTCAACAGTAGACATCAACAATGCCGCTTTTCTACCGTTCTCTTTTATGTTTCAGTTTTCTTTGCTTTGATGTTTTCTCTTTCTATGCACACTATAGAGACAGATATAAAGCAAGAAATGGAGAAACTAACAAATTTTATCGTTTTATCGAAAAAAAGGATTCTACTCACTATGAAATTAGTGTTTATTCTCACAACTTATCAGAATAAAAAGTTAACAAATTCGAAGGGACCCCTCTCCAGTTTTTCTGCCAGTTTGTGGTACACAACCTGTACCCTATACCATGCTATTTTTTAGCAAAAGGTACCGTTTAGTTTTTTAGTTATAAGGCTGCTAATATCACAACTAAATGCATGAAAAAGTAGGTATCTACGTCAATATCAATGCCAAATGAGTTTTCAGAGAACTTTCTGAACTACGATGACTTTCCGGCTTTCTCTTCGGGCCATGATAGTGAGAGATAATGTATGTAAAACAGAAATACAAATGGTTAAAAGGCTGCTATTATCCATAGTCAGTAACTTCTCGAAACAGCTATTAATAATCAGTGAATAAGAGTGTTAAATGATGAATAATAACTAATCATCCATTACCGTTATATTCATCATTATATAACGAAGCATTGATGTCTATATAATCCAGGTACTAGTTCAGTTAGATGAAACTCCGACGCTTTTTTCTTTCTATGCACACTATAGAGACAGATATAAAGCAAGAAATGGAGAAAAGAACAAATTTTATCGTTTTATCGAAAAGAAGGATTCTACTCACTATGAAATTAGTGTTTATTCTCACAACTTCTCAGAATAAAAAGTCCTTTTACAGATAAGCAAATCTCATTTTTACAATCAAATATTATTGATAAACTTAATGCTTGTCCAATATTACATACATTAGATCCAAATGTTAAAGCATTAAATGATGAAATGAAACATTGTTTTCAAGATATGAACTAAATCAAAGAAGCTACAGGTAATATGGCTAGAAGTATGAAAAATCTTGCTAGTTTACTGTTTAGAATGGTTAACAGAAACCAAAAGGAATTCCATGAACAAGAAACACAAACAGATGAAGTATGTCTCAAGAAGAGTGCTGCGATACTATCAGTTATTCACAAATATTCCATACTTTTTCAGGCTTTTCCAAGTACTCGATTAATAACAGATTATACTAGTGGATTTCGTCAAGATAATTATGATTTTAATGATGACGACGATTGTTATGATTTACAAGCATTCAATACTCAAATAAAACAGCATGCTAAAGTAAAATTTGAATTTTAAAGCTCCTTTCTGTATGTTTATTAAGAACCATACTCTCTTCTGAAATAGATAGAATACGACAATAATCGTGATACAGCTAGTCCAAGACCGGTAAATAAACTTTAAGTGCCTTTTTCTTATCAGTTTATCATACCATATTTCATGTTTAGACATTACCGGTCGAAAATACAATTACAATAGATTCAAATCATGCATTATCGACACAAGTAGCTGGTACTTTACTGGATAATTGTATACAAGTATGTTTAAAATTCGAACGAAAGAAAGTTTCGCACAGCTGAATTCGATTTCAGATGACTGATAGAACAAATGAATCATCGTCATCTGAACATACACAATGTGTGAGTATTCGCTCTGCAAGAAGTAGTCTCAGTTATATAAATATTTTTCCTTGTTTAGCCAAATGCCGACAATATCAATTCACATGTCACAGTAATCACTCAACCAACTACAAAACCAATTAAAATATCAAGTGGGATAAGACCAAACTAGACTGCTTTTATTCTGCACATCAATGGACTAAAAACTGGTTGAATAAATAACACATACCTTGAGTTCAGACTGTAAATATTATGAAAAATTACGACAAGTAACGATTTAGATAAGTGTTGTATATACGAGGAGAAAAAGTCATGAAACTATTTCTTTATTCAGATATCGCTGAAAAAGGGTATCGTCCCGATTCGTCGACAAATCGGACACTTCAAAGAATATACATCAAAGAATTTCAAAGGCGGGAGGGGCGGTGTGAGAGTGAGTGTCGACGAATCGGGACTGAATCCTGAAAAAGACAATAGACTAGAATTAAATTCCTTTCAAAGAGAATTTACCGCTTTCTGTTGCAGGGATTAATTATGACGCTATCTTTCTGTTAATTTCCACTTCTTTGAAGATGAGACTTCTCAAAATTTCGTTTCGTTAATTCTATCTCTCAATATTTTCAGAATCAAATAGTTCTAACCGATCCTACCAATATGGGTCGGCAATATACAATCGATAAACAAAAGTATTCAATTGTTAAAAGAAAGACTGATCAAACATTAAATTCAGATTGTAATTCAACAAGACATTTATTACATCATCTTATTAATTCTTTATATTCGTTTCACGAACTTGAAAAAAGCTCAATTGATGGAAAAATTTCTCATACTATATCATTGTCAGTATCACGAATGACCACTATCGACAACCATATGCTAAAACTTTATGGTTCACATTATGAAACATATCGTAAATTAAAACTATGTGGTGCTAAACAACAAGAATCATTTAGAGCTCAAAAATCATATTTATCAAAAGACAAAACTACCGCATTAGCTATAAACTAATATACTGAAGTAATAATTAAAAATAAATAACGGAATTCCATCTCCTCTTGAATCACGCAGTAACATATTTTATGTTAATTCAATGTACTATTAAATTTGTTAATAAAAAACTATTTTGCTAAAAATTCGAGATTCTAGGTCTGCTTCAATTGCAGCCGGAATTCACATATATCATATCATATCTTAGAATGAAAATTGTCTATCTTAAAGTCCGAGTCCACTACTCTACATTCTAGAGTTATCTGGTCGTCAATATGGTTGTTTGACAAAAACAATCATATAAAAAAAACCTACTTTTTTGGTGTGTATTGGCGATCTGATATCTCTACAAATTAATGCGACATTTTTCTGAAAAATAGCTAAGCATATTGTGTAACTTATGCACTCGAAATTAGAGTAGAAAAGGCAAGTAAGTACTCGACTTAATGCGACATTAATTGATCAAGTTGACAGATTATGTATTAAATTCACAATGAGAGAGAAAAGCATTCACGAAGAAAACTAAATTCACGCTAAAATGGAAAATTTATTCTTTTTCATTTCGTTTATTAAAACGCAAATTCTTATATCGTTTAGATAATTTTATTTGAAAACTGATATATAAATATATATGTGTGTAACTTATGTTTATAAACAGGACGAATACAGTTCAGCGTTAGATTGTGTAACCGATAATAAAAGATGAAAATTTATTCTATTCTGTCCGTATTAATGTATCCATTTTCTTTCATTCAGCAAAACGAGAGAAAGAAAAAGAAAAGAAAAGAGAATGATATTGATCTATATCTACGCGTAGACTTATTTTTGACGGCTTCCCTAACACCTAAAAGCTTCTTTTCCATGGCTTTAACGACTGGCCTCACCTGTCTGAATATTGTGACCAGTTCACTTTGTAGAGAATTTCAAGGGCTATCCAATGGTACGTTTGCGAACAATACATAATTTTTCGTTATGGCAGAAAAACGTCTAACTGAGTGTTCAAAGCACTAAGATAGATGAAAATCATTATACCAGCCAAGTATTTCAACTATTGACCAATGTGGGCATATCTTTGAAAGACTTATTTATAGCTCATTTTGAAGCTCCTGAAATTCTCTATCAAATGACATATAAAGTGAAGTAATTCACAAGAAAATCAATGGATATTATAAACATGCACGACGTGAGTACCAGACATTTGGGCGCCGACATTTTTGCGCAACGACATTTGGGCGCGCGACAGTTGGGCGCACGTCAGTTAGGCGCAACGACATTTGGGCGCGCGACAGTTGGACGCAACCACATTTGGGCGCAAGTCTATTCTTTCACTCGACCATGTAGAAACTCTTATCATTGTAGAAGAGAATGTTCTTGGTGGAATTTTCTTTCCTATTCATTCTCAATATCATTCTCAATTTCGACGCTCAATAAAAAGCGAAGAATAACTGTATGAGAATACAGTATATAAGAAGAAAGGTACGTAGGTACTCACAGCCATATCGTTGCGCCCAAATGTCGTTCGCGCCCAAATGTCATTGCGCCCAAATGTCGGTGCTCAAATGTCGGTATACCGAACGACGTTGACCCACAGGTCTGCTGAGATGCTACCGAATATTTCGGAGTCTAGACTACCCTGTTAGATTTTCTTAAGATTATATTACACATTATTTTGAAAGTCTCTATGGGATGATGTATAAAGCAGAGTGGTTAACGAGAAAATTATTCGTCGTTCAACATGAACGACGTTGAGCTATCGATTTCCTGGAATGCTATCGAATATTTCGGATCTTACATTTTCTTAAGGCTAGCTCATATATCATTTTGTAGCTCGTGAAAATCTCTATCGAACGGTGTATAACAGTTGATATTTACTCTGGTGAAACAGGTTGAATAATGTAAATACTTTGAGTAAACGTCGTTTAACGCGAGAATAGTTGTTTCTGCTAAAAGGTTTCTGGGGGTGCTGACGAGGAAAGGGCACCAGCTGATAAATCGTTTTTTGCACCAAACCCAGCGTGTTATAGGTTATCGATCACGCTGATTCCGAATGTCCATATGAGACGGGCCGCTAGGCCTTCCTAGAGCGGTTTGCTGGAAAACCAGTTTTAGAAACTGCAGAAAATCTCTGAAACTTTCTCTTAATAGATTACGAGTGTAGTCCACGAAATTCTGATCAAAATGAGACATCTCTCAGCTCTACACGACCTTTCTTTGCACACTTATAGAATTTACAAGAAAAGCCTTAAATTCTTTTTCCTTTTTCTGTTTATATATCTGAGCTGACAATGAACACTAATTACAGCAACCTTTAACATATATGTGCGACTAGAATGAAAGTTACAAGTTAATAGTGAAACATGAAGACACCGAAAGACATCTACAGGCAGCACCCAGGCAACCCAAAATTACAGCACACAGGCAACCGAAAATAACTACACAGACATTCACTTCTACGGAGATAGGAGCGACACGGAAGTGAATGTCTGTGTAGTTATTTTCGGTTGCCTGTGTGCTGCCTGTAGATGTCTTTCGGTGTCTTCATGTTTCACTATTAACTTGTAACTTTCATTCTAGTCGCACATATATGTTAAAGGTTGCTGTAATTAAACTAATTATGGATGGGTATGCATTTTCATTAACCCTTCATAAGCAATTAGTAAGAGTAGAACTCCGAACGAAATGCTTATTTTCTTTGGGAACAACATTCGAAAGAAAAATTACAGTACGAGTAGAGCTAGCCCCACTTGTCACTGCATGTGGTGTATTGGTGGAAAAAGAGATATTAGTGTAATTTTACGTCCCAGCAATCAAGGCCTCACACGTAGAGATGGGACAGTTCCAGTTCCTTTCTTTTGAACCGGAACTGGTGCTATGAGGAATGTGAGGAACCCTCTCATCACTCGAAAGACGATGATCGATGGGGAGTTGCGGTTTTCACTAATGAAAAGAGGACTATTTTCCCAGCCTTTTCACAAGGAACTCGAAAACATTTTGAAGATAGGTTTTTCAGCGGATCTTTGGAAAACCTCTTCATATCCGTTGAACCTCACGTAATGACATACCAATTTTTTTGATAGATATATAGCCCAACATGGCTTCTAAGTGTTTGGATCTAAGCGACATTTTACTTTCGATTCGGCCGGCTTGGTTCGGCCTAGAATATGGATTTGCGAGAACACATGCCTGTAATTTATATTCAAGTTCTGTTTCCAATTCTGTTAATGCCATTTGATAATTCCTTTCTTTTATATATATCGCAGCTATATCATGGCAAACTTCGGAAAGTGTTAAACATTGTGTAGGGTCCGTTTCAAGTACTATATTACGCAACATGTGAAAATAATTTATTGCCTCATCAGCATGCCCTAATACACCATGAATAGAACCAAGATTTTGATAGGTTACAAGAATGGCTTCATTTTTTGATGGGAATGTTTTTAATTCGTATTGTAACAGTTTTTCATAGATATTTAATGCTTTGTGATTCTCACCTTTAATCGCATAAGTGCTGCCAATATTAGCCCATGTCAGAGCGAGTAACGAATAATCGATTGTCGAACAGGAGTCGAAGCATAGAGTAAGTGCGTTGTTATGACATATTAATGCTTGATCATAATTCTTCTTCCTCATCGACAACACACCCATATCATTATTTAGTTTTATCAGTTTTATATTATTCAATGGACGTTGTTCTAAAAAGAATTCAACTGCTTTTTCATACAATTTAAAAGCACGATCATCATTATTCTGTTTAAAATAAAAATGAGCCATAAAAGTGTAAATCTCTCCTCGATCTTCATGATTTGATGGTAGGTGGTTGTGTAAGGCTCTAAAATATTCTGTTGCTTTAATAGTGTCGCCCATAAAATGCTCAATAAAAACACCTAACAAAATTAAATTTGTATCTTGATCAAATCGCTCTTTTATATAGTTGATGGTGTTTATCTGAAGTGTGTTTTCCTCGTTGAATACCATCAGTTTTGCTAGCCATATTTCCTTAACAGAACTAAAAATAAAACAAAGATTAAAAAAAAACAGGCTATTTTAGGTAACATAAATAGGCTCAAATATATTTTTTTGACTCCAACTTCGGATTCCGCATGTGAAATTATGTAAAAGAGGCAAAAACGGAGTTCGTTCGGGTTTAGTTAAGGCAAAAACTGTTGAAACCGAAAGCAGATTGTACGTCTACTATTCGAGCAGAAATTAAGAAATTGTCAAAAGTTTCAGAATGGTAGTCGATTAAACATTCACCAGATTATTTGAAAAAGCTTGCCAGCGTAGGCTAAATGTAAAACACCCCCTGAGAATATTTTCGTACCATAGCTTACATTCGCGTACTTGAATGGAGAAAGTTCTTTTTACTTGCAAATATAAATAATTCAATGTTTAATGTTTAAGCTCGAGTTGTTTGTACGATACAGAAATTTTGTTTTACAGCTGCTTTTTCGTTACAGAAAAGTTCAAGTCTTGGAAACTTGACCAAACTTGTACAAACAAGTCGAGTTTAAACATTAAACATTGATTTTCTTTCATTTAACTGCAATAAACTCGCATGATTCATAGAGAATTTTGACAAATGTTTTTGTCTTTTCTCTAAATACGTTAGAATATTTATCACCGAAATTGTTTCGATGATGTTCTACGCATATATTCTCAACTGTGTTGAGAGAAAAGTTACAGAGAGGCAGTCATGAGGACTGCGCGCATAGTAAGTGTCAGTTCAAGTTTCTAAGGCTTGAGCTTTTCTGGTACGAAAAAAGCGGTTGTAAAGCAAAATTTCTGTAAATATAAATAATATAAATTTCTTTGCCTATCGCATCAGATCAAGTAAGAAGTGAAACATAAGGATAGTTGTTATTGAGAGTGTTTAATTTTACAAAAGACGTAGTCGCCATAGGCGCGATAGTCAGCGTCAAAACCCGAAAAGTGATTTGAACAAAGAGATACTTTGCTCCTCATACATTTATCGAATAAGCTATTCAGAAAAAAATTTGAATCAACTCTGTTGATCGTATAAAAAGTCGATTTTGCGATAATGTCATACAATTTCAATCAACGATGTACGACAATTTTCTCAAACTTTTCCATCTTGTCAAAAAATCAGGCAGGAGCACACAAAAGGGAATGTTTCAAAAAAAATAATAATATCAAAACGTTAGTTCTAAATATTATTAATTCATCTTAAAACTGCACTTCGTATTATACCGATGAACAGCCTTTTTTCCTTTATATCTGAATTTATTTAAAAAAAAAGAAATTAATTGAATAGTTTTTACCTCGCTTTGGATGCAAATGTTGTTTGAAGTTTTTCAATTGAAATTAAGCGAAAAACAGTTCCAACAGTAAGTAATACACAATTTTCAATTTTTACAAATGGATATTTTGTAATTATGCCTGAGTCGAGGTTAAACTCAAATAAAATAATTTTTTTCCTTGTATTTCCTATCTCCTGAGACTGAATAAGATCTAATTCAGCAGTTTTATCGCAGTTTAATAATAGAAATGATAAGATTGAAGTAAATGCACCAACATTTGCTTGTATGGTTTCCAATTCTTTTTGATTCATCCACACACCAAGATAAACGAAGAAATTATTTGGTTGAATCAACGAATGAAAATGTAACTGTTTTAACTGATTATGCAAATTTTTTATGATGTAACCAAATTTAAACAGAGTATCAATATTTTGTGTTCGAAAGGCTTTTATAATTACACGAGCGAAAAATGAGTAATTCCTATACCACCATATCATTGAATTTCGATCAATTTCTGTTGCTTCCAATAGATAAGCATCGCACCGGGATTGATTGTCTAAAGAATATCGATTCATAATTATTATGACAACTACAAAAGTCTGTCTGTATAAGAGAAAAAGGAGTTAATACGTTGAGTTACTCTTCCTGTTGTGTTGACAACAAATAACAATAAATTTATCACGTTTCAGACAAAAATTAATTTTCATTTTTGAAAAATTAAACATACAGTAAACTAATCAAACAAACGAAGTAGTAAAGTGTTTATATATTTTTATTTCTTTGATTAATAGCGAATCGGATAAGACGGTAATACTAGATGAGAGATTTATGGGTCTTCTTCGTCCGATCACTATGACCGTCATTGTTATTATGAATAGTCAAATTTGGTTCCTGTCAGTTCAATATGATTTTTGATTGTAGTTTTTGATGAATGAATAATAGCGGTCCGTAATTTACTAATATCGTATCGACAATTAATTGAGTTGTTTATATTTGAATAGATTACTTCTGTTATTATTCTTTTAGTTGTTTTAATTTCATTTTGATCGACTGTTACCCAGGCAAAAAAATCGTATATGAAAATATCTAGATACTTTAGTGTGGTATTGGACAATGCCATGTCCAATATATCTAGATAATCCAATAAAAGTGATACCTGTGCGTAGATATTTTATAGTAGGATTGTCCAATAGCATAACAAAATATTTCGATAAAGGGGGTGACACAATAAAAGACTCGGACCTTCTATTCTGTCCCCGAAAGAAAGCTGTTTTTGTTAGACTTAGACATTTTGTCATTTCATCACATGTGTGTCCTTTCTCTCTTTTCCATGCGCCTCAGAGAAAGAGAGAATTTGCTTTCAATAGAAAATATCTATTATTGTACGAAACTTATAGTTAAAAAGTGAGAAATAGGAGAAGTCTTCTATTTCGGGAAATCTTTTATTATGGGAGGATCTTATAGTGTATCTACCAAAAAGTATCGTAGTTGGCGAAAAAGTCTTTTATGAGGCGGTCCATTCTACATCGCTTCCCGAATAATAATCTGGAATATTCTGAAAAAAAGTTGAAGTCATCTCGTAAAAGAAGAATACATCATTGTGTTTTCATAAAAGAACCTTGCGTAGAAACAATGTCCATCTCGTTTGGAACGGATAACATGCAAGATACTCTTGTGAGCTTTTAATTTTAGACCAAAATCGTGAATTTTTATGATTTCATATTAATTAAACACTGCAGTTTACTGATACTGTTACTTACCAATGGTATTGTCATCTTCGAGCAAAGTATTGGTTGTCGAGGGTTTACAGTTTTTGTCGAATTCATCAATACGTTGTAACTCTTTTACATTTCCATTAAAATATTGTTTACATTCATTTAGCATGTTTTGCTTCTCTTTAAGCGTATAGTCCATGTTTAACATTACATCAATTAATATCTGATACCATGTAAACCACGAAAAATCGACATGTTTCGATTGTTCATTCGACGGCGTTACTATTACCGATGATGGTGATACCATTGTCATTGGCGTGCACAGTAGTATTAAGGCATTGAAAAATGTTTCGCTATTCTGAACATCTTCAGTTAGTTTACCAACTAACAATTCTTTATCGTTATAAACGCCATGGATAATAGTTGAATATTTTTTTGTCCATTTTTCATGTAATGACGGATTTAAACATAATATATAAATGTATTCAATTTGCTCAAGTCGATGTATACGTTGTACGATGGTTAGTGCGAATTTACTCGATACAATTAAAAATATTTTTTCTTTATTAACAGTAAGAATATAGTTATAACATTCCTCAAGGTTATCAAATATTTTTAAATAATTAATAATCGAACGGAATTGTTTACAAGTATCGTCCTTGCTCTTTTCATCAATATTACCATCTAACCACACAAGTGTAAAGTCATCTATATTTCGTTCTTTCATGTCTTCATCAGTGAACACATCTGAGGTTGTTGTAATCTCAGCCATGTTCTAGATAAGAAATAATAATGGCACAGAAACTCGCATTAGTCTAATGCAGCCATCACTATGATCAGTAGCAGATTGTAAAATCCAGAAGAGCCAATTAATATGCAGTGACCATATTTACGCGTCTTCAGGGATTTTAAACCCATTTTTAAAAAGTTGGCGAAAATGTTAAAAGTGAAATTGGAAGTATGATTCATGCTTACAGTAAAAGAGCTAGGTAACGTTATCGAAATTTTTGAAAGTTTTTCTGACTACTGTTCAGTTTCTGTTGGATTTTTCTTTTAATTGTTTCTCTAACTTTCGGGAATAAAAAGGCCGTTTTACAAAACTTTGTCACGGGTTCCTGTAGTTCCAGGTACATTCAGCACTAAATCTATTTAGTGAGAGTTGTGGGATCTTATGGTAGATCAAGATGGTCCTCAGTAGAACTCATTAGGCATAATTATATTGGGCATATCATTGCCAGTATGTTGCCGTCGACTCTGATTGTTTTTAAGCTTCTTTGCTGACGTAAATAGCACATTATTTATGTTGATAGTGACATTGTTAGGAATCATAGAAAATCTCATTTAGTAACATTAGAAATTCTCATTCTTCGACGTAATATCCTCGTTCTCTGATGCAAATATGTTTGGTAATAAAACACTGCGTAACAACATTTCCACTGGAACTTTAGTAATCATTCTGAATTAGTTTACTGCAGGGTACAACATTTTTTGCATCCTATATCCTACCTTATTAAAATTTCTACCGACTACAAAAGCTGTCATGTCGACCGATTACAAAAAATTGCACAAAAGTGTTTTGGTAAAAAACTAGGAGATTTTTAATCTAAACATCGTCAAAGTCAAATATGAAAATATGGCTGACATACCAATGTAGGATTGCATTTTGATAACTTTTGTTAGGACAATTTTGGTCCAAAATAAAATGTACGAGGAGAATCAAGACATTTCTAGCGCTCAAAATGCAAGGAAATAGTAAAAAGTTATTCTCTCAACGAAAACGCAATGAGTGACAATGAATATTTCATGATATATTCAACTCGGCATGGCCTTTTCGACTCAGTATGCAAGCGATTTCATACTTGAATTCTAAATTTCGCCGAAACTTTATAAAATGGATTTAGTATCTTGAAAAGCAGGTAAATAAGATTTCATCCACGACTACAAGTCCCATCAGTGAAATAATTCAGAATACACATCTCAAACTGCCCTCTAGAAACTGATGAAATAACCTCACAA